AAAAATAATCGCCGTAGACTATGCGTTCTTGAATCTATTACAAAAGTAACTTTTCTCAAAATCAATGCAGATACCAGGCTGGAATTTCACAGTCATACTTCCGAGGCTTCGTGGTACAGAATATCTGAATTGAAGGAAAGGGACGGAGATAGAGGCGGAGTTTGCCGATTTTTGATTTTCGTTTTTTCTCGATCTCTAAGTGAGAGAAAATTGCAGCAAGTACATAAATGAACGCTATTGATGACCAAATGGGAGGCTTGTAGAATTTCTCCGGGAAAAGATCCGATTTTTAAGCTGGCCGAATGCTCACAGATTCTGGCACCAAACTTTGCATAGGTCAGATTAGGTAGATTCTTGGTGGTTGCTTTGTAGAGTATGCACCAAAAGGACCAAAATTCTGGAGCTCAGTTTTGCAAAATTTCTGAGCTTCGTTTTCATGCTGTAAGAAAGTAGAGAACAGTAGTTTGGTATTTAAATACAAACAAGTATTCCTTGTTTAGCGAATAACGATAAAAATTTGTCATTTCCTGTCGTTTTGGAATTGCTCCAAAAAACATATTCTCTCATGATTGCTCACTATGGAAAATTGGAGCTTCTGCTCATTTCTCATTTCTTTGTGGTTGTATTAAGGTGATCGGTAAAAAATGGGGCACCTAGAGAATAAATGTAGATTTCTCTAAAAAGAAAAGTGATTAAACTTCCCAATTTTGAAAGATGTTAGAATTTTCATTTCATTTTCATTTTCATTTGTACGCTCAAAGCGTTCCATTAAAAAAAGACACATCAAGAAGTTAGTAATACACCGGAAACGAACAAGACATGTAAACAAATGCAGACATCACCATGTCAGTCCGAGTCTGATCCTAATCAGACTAACGTGAGAAGATGAAACAGCTTGCACTGAATATGTTGATAGGCCAATAGATAAGTATGCAGATGTAGGCATTGAAATTTGTAACTCCAAAATTTTGAATCCATGGAGATGGGACGCATGCCCCCTCGTTGCCAGCGGAACGATCTTTAGTTACTCTTAAAAGCAATCCGGCAGCTTATAAGGCAGGTCTACTGGCTCAGGTATAATAACCATAACCCAACCTAACCGGAATGCTGGGGAGGCCCAATGACCCCAAAGGTGAAACGATTCACATTCAGTCCATTTGTTGAAATTGCAAGCTGTATGATTGAATACTATTAGGTTGTCAAGAAAATAATGTCCGTTTTTATTTGCTTGCTTTAACAAAGCAACCAGACTGAACCCAACAAAGGGTAAGGGGTACTGTTCGATAGAGCAAAGCAAGCTCTACAAGATGGCACTCATGTCTTTGCGCCAAGCTCAATCCGCTGAGAGTTCGAACTCAAAATCTAAAGATTTCCAAATGCCCAAAAAATCGAAAAAAATCAGATCTTCGTCCAGATAATTTCTACGGACCTCCCACTCGCTCATATCAATACTATCGATATCAGATATCCATATGTGCGATCGGCGTATTTTTTCTTTGACTAGAAACTGAGAAAACGAAAATTTCCCTGATTTTCTCAAAGCAATGTTGAGCCGTTTCTGCATATGTAGTTTTATACTACAAGCCTAGGTAAGCATAACTGTAGGTTTTCAGCCTATTTCGAGCGGTACTTTTCGAGAAATGTCGATTTTAGCACTGAAACTGAAACGAAAAAATCCGAATTCGTTATTTTTCGAAAACTACCGCTCGAAATAGGCTGAAAACCTACAGTTAGGCTTACCTAGGCTTGTAGTATAGAACTACATATGCAGAAACGGCTCAGCATTGCTTTGAGAAAATCAGGGAAATTTTCGTTTTCTCAGTTTCTAGTCAAAGAAAAAATACGCCAATCGCACATATGGATATCTGATATCGATAGTATTGATATGAGCGAGTGGGAGATCCGTAGAAATTATCTGGACGAATATCTGATTTTTTTCGATTTTTTGGGCATTTGGAAATCTTTAGATTTTGAGTTCGAACTCTCAGTGGATCGAGCTTGGCGCAAAGACATGAGTGCCATCTTGTAGAGCTTGCTTTGCTCTATCGAACAGTACCCCTTACCCTTTGTTGGGTTCAGTCTGGTTGCTTTGTTAAAGCAAGCAAATAAAAACGGACATTATTTTCTTGACAACCTAATAGATAGCTGAGCGAAAAAGACTCAGACCAAGATGCTTATGAAACTGTGTTTAACTAGAACAAAACGAGTACACCGAAAATACAAGTTTGACGCAACGTGAGGATATACACGAGAGGCGTTAAAGAAATAATTTACAGCCATAACTGAACCCGCAAGTCAATGCAAGATCAACGAGCACCTGAAAAGACATGTTTTAGAGATAAAATGGAGAAGAAAGCTGATAGAAAACAAAACCCAAAGCGATTCCATACGCCATCATAGCACGTCCAAAGCACCCAATAGGAGCCCAAAAGGTCTAATGCAGAAGGCTCGCCCTGTCGTGCAACACTAATCAGTGCTAGCGATACTTGACAAGTCAAGCCTTCTCAGTCTACTCCTGAAAACATGACTACTCTCTCTAGTGGTCTCAACCGGGAGGTGCGAAAGACACCTAGCCGACCTGTAAAACACGTTGTTGAACATCAGCAAGTATCTCTTGCGCCGAATTCTTGGATATTGCAAGTTAAAAGAGCCTGACCTTTCGCTTGTAGGAACAAAAATCCAGTATTTACTGGCTTTTGCTTGTTCTCTCTTCTCAGAACTTGAAAACAGAATACAAGATCCAAGAATGCACGACGGTTTGTTAAGGATTTCATATGAAACCTCTCAAGCCGGGTCTGGTAATCGGGAGGGGTGGTTCCGGGCGATAAACGTCTATACAACAGTCGTGTAAAAAGCTGTTGAACCTTTTCAATTCTGCGAATATCCTTTTTACGAAGGGGGGACCAGACCTAAGACCTCAGTATTCTAAATGAGGAAGGACTAATGCTTTATAAAGCGGTATAAGTATCTTCGGAGAACTAGCATTAGTATTGCGGAAAAGCAGAAAAAGTGAAGAATAAGCTTTTTTGACTAACGTATTGATATGCTCAGTGAAGTTAAATTTTTATCAATCAAGACACCCAAATCTCTAACAGTATCACAACTCTTCAATATAGAGCCTTTGATGTGATACGAGGTAGTATTTCCACCTCCAAGATGAAGCACTGAGCATTTGTCAAAGTTTGACGCTAATTCCCAGACCTCACATCAATTGGTCAAATTATCAAGAGACCTTTGCAAGTCCATTTGAATCTCTGGAGCTACTTCTGATCATAGACTGCTAAAATCTTTATGTCATCAGCATACATCCGGATGTGTACGCTAGCGGAAGTCTTCAAAGCAGAAGGTAGGTCAAGGGTGTAAATCAGGAAAAGCAAGGGAGCTAAGACACCACCCTGTGGAACACCACTAGTGCAGAAGTACTTTTTGGAGTAACGATGACCAACTTTCACAGTCATATGCCGATCATGCAAATAAGAAGTCAACCACGAAAGAAGATTTCCTTTAATCCCTAATTTGTTCATTTTAGTTAGTAATTTAGCATGACAGACCTTATCAAACGCTTTCGAGAGATCAACATAAACAATGTCAACCGATTTGCCTTCGTTGATTGCTAAGCCCCACTCGAACACACTATCAACCGGATTTGTTGTGGTGGAAGCTCCATTCAAAAAGCCATGTTGTTCATCGGGGATCAAATCCGAAACCTTTAGCCATTCCAAAAGTTTTTCACGCATGATTCTTTCTATGATCTTAACAGGAGTGGGAAGCAAGCTAATTGGACGGAACTTATCAATTCGACATGCTCCGTCAGTTTTTGGAATAGCTGTAACAAAAGCTTCTTTCCACAAGTCGGGGACCTCCCACAACATCGAAATGTTGAATATATGTGCAAGCGGAGCTGCAAGCGAAGAGGCGCATTTTAGGTATACTATCTGAGGGATGCCATCAAATGTTCCAGTTATGGAAGGTTTTAGTTATTCTCTTTCAGAAAATACCTATATAAGGTCTTTAACGTACCTAATTATTTTTATAGTGTCTGAAATGCAAAGTTAGTCACTTTGACAAATTATAAACTTCGGGCAGTATCTGCGCAGTGAAACATGCGAAAGCATCCAAAGTACTACTGCTGCGATGCGCGAAGGTACAGTTACCAGACCCACGATGGGTTGCTGGCCGAAACTTTCAAATTCAGGAGATATGGCCATTAGCAGCTTTGAGAACAAAGATAGTGCTATTCAATGCTTTGCAGGTTAACGCATGTTTAATAGGTACCATCTGAAAGAGTTTTTCACGCTTTATCCATCCATATGCAGCTTACCTCACATTTTATCTATTTTGGAAAATAGAGATTGAAAATTGATTCATTAGTTTTTGTTGAGCTAAAAAATCGCGATTTTTTCGCTTTTTTTTACCCAGAAATAGAAAGAAATCCTGCATGTTTCATATATCGTTTGAAGCATGAAGAGCTCTTTCGAATGATTTTTCGATTGCTCTATAACTTTACGATATGGCAGCGCAAGAATGAGAGACGTTCAAAAAACCCTGTTCGAGTTTTTCAGGGCGCCACGCGTAGGGTTGTGAGAGAGGAGCGTTGACGCTTTGCCAGAATAATAGCCGAAGGTCGCTTATATAAGCGACGTTAACGTAGTAGCCTGCTTGTTGTTGGTGAGAACACAAAATCTCAAAATCTAATAAAAATCAAGCTGCCCCATTTTTTTACCGATCACCCTAATTACATATGAAAGTAAAAGCTACACAGAAAGATTTTATACTGCAATTCCCATTGAAGTGCTCTTTCCAGAGATACCGAGCACTGGACAAAAAATTGTCTGGAGCGTTTGTAGGAACTGTCAAACGACGGAAATTATTTATTAACCGACCTAGTATTTCTCTCCTGGGTAGACAAATTCACCTTTTACTTGCAAAGTTTAGCGGTGGCTAACGAAGTCATCGGTCATAACTGACTAACACCCTTCAAGGCGCAGGCTTCAAGAAATCGTACCGAGGACTTCATTGGAACAAGAAAATCACATTTGAGTCGATTCACAAATTTGAGCATCATGATGAAATACACATGAGAAAACAACATCCTACGTAAATGTTAATGAAAAGGAAGTTAACAACTTTGTACAAACAAGTGATTAAAAGGGTCTCGATGGAATTCGCAACAGTAATTCTTCTACGTTTCGCTTGTATAATCGCCTTTGAATCAAGATCACAGCTATTGAGGTGGCCTGGAAAGAGTAACATCATCCACTTATAAGCAACCTAGGTAGGTTGCGGGTTATGCTTTTTGTTTGATTGTGATAGTTTTTGATAAATTTCATAACCCAATTGATCATATGTAGATTTTGATATAGGTGTCGCACATAATGAGGGAATTAGTTCTAAACCAGTTCGTTCTCCTTCAGGCCAAACCGTAGTATTCTAAGTGACTTTTGACCCTCGTGAGTGGGATAAATGGGAAGTGCAGTCTGAGTTAAAGGCAGTGGCTCGGCAAATCTCAACCTAGTCAAATTTGCGCTTACCTGGGGTTTTTCAATACGCTGATCCCGAAAATCCACTTTTGAAAGCTTGAAAACGGCGAAAATGAGCGTTTTTTAATGCCCTTTCCTTTGATATTGGACGAGTGGAGCAAGGCCGATGACGTTAAATCGTGGCAGGACCCAATGGTTATAGCGTTGAGGCGGGCAGCCTCCAATGGTGAGAAGGAATTGCCAACTCGTCCAGATGCGTGTAAGATTGGCCTGCGCGTGTAAGTTCGAAAACGATTTTCTCTGCAGAGAAAGGCATATTGTGCAACCGGGATTGCACTGTTTTCATAGTTGGGCTATAAGGAATCTACCGCGTCAAAATCCCGAGTTGTTGGATTTTGTGATCCACTCCTTTAAAGATCTAGACTGCATTTTTTCAGTCACAAATGAAAAATATGAGTACTGCCTTAGCAATGGCTATAGGGCCTCTTAGGCAATTTCCACATAAAAACTCGGAAAAGGTAAAGTTCATTCATGAAATCGTGACGAAGGATCTGACTACATTTCCCCGGAAGAAGCATAACACCCTCATACAAAAATGCATCACCTTAACGCTCAGCTCAGTTACTTCCAATGTCTAAGTACTATCATACCTAAGCAGAAAAACCAGTAGAGTAGAAACAATACCAAGAAAATGCGGTTGCTGAGGGGTGCGTGCGTGTCGCGCGCAGTCGCGCCGTCGTCGTCGCGTTTTTCGAATGCCCTATACACAAATTTGCTTGAACGCTGTCTTTATGCGTTATAGACAATAATGACAGAATTCCAGAAAAGCGTGATGCCACTTTTACGCAATTTTCTAAAAATACTAGGAGATCAATGCTTTGGACCTTAAATCCCCTCCAGGATATGTGGTCACCCATCTAACGTGTCAATGCTTCAGGTCTCCTAGATTCAATCGTTAGATTTTGGTTTGTGAGATGTCATTATTCATTGGAGGTATACTCAGTAGGCATCGCCAGGAGATGAAAATAACCAAAATGTTTTACACATAAACTTATTAGCTCAAATAGTCATGACACAAGTAACTTCACCAGTTTGCCACAGGTCATGAAAACTTGAAAAGATAAAGCTGTATAGCAGCACTTGGAGTATGACGGTTTGCAAATGTGCACTATACGACTTATATAGCCATCACAAGCTTACAGCATACTCCATGCATAGAGCAATTATCGCTTTGTCTTCAATACGCTTGTGAACTGAATATCCGGATAAGCTTTGCACAGTGAACTTTGTGATCCAAGAGCGAATTACTTTCAGATTATGTGTGAGTCACCGTTACTCACGAGTTATTCTTCGAAAAGTCAGCTTTGTTTGTTAAAGGCAACTTAGGATATCCATTCACCAAGATAATCCGTGTTTTAGGTCTCTCATTACCACTAACCAACGGTGACTGAAGCGAACATTTGTTGTGCGCTCACCCTTCAAGAGTCCAATTATCGTCTAATCTGCGATATGCGACCACACCCGAGCTTGAGTGCACACAAGATTGAGATGATCTTTGATGGTCTCCGAATTGTTTGTCTGTTACTAGATTTCATGCCTACGGATACGAGATAGATATGGTATAGATATGAATTTTAAATTCAGCTATGAACTCTGTAGATGTGTGATGTTATAAAAATAATTGTTTAGATTTTTGCGCCTACAAACTCGGAAAGGAATTTGGAGGATGTTTAGCAGATAGAAGATTTTGTGGTATGATTCGGACCATTAAATTACTGGCAAACAGGCCGACTGAAGCCAGATACGCCAGTTAGTACTGTCTGCTACACGGCGCGAGCGTCTGTAGGGAGTATGGAAGCGCCTTAGGCAGCAATAAGTGATAGCGCCTACTGCATTCGCGACCGGACCCCTCCTGTTGAACTGCAAGTTGAGGGGCATACATAGCCGCGCAAAGAAGCCTATGCCTTTTTTGAATTCTTTTCGCATTGATATGTTATTTTTATGCTTGATGTTGTTTCCAGCGAGCTCCTGAAGAAGAATTTATGCTTGACCGATAGTATAGAGTATTAAAGGGATGTTTTGATCCGACGCACTACGTACAAGCGCTGCAGGATAAGTTGATTGAACGAGATCAACGATACCGAAAACGAATGGGGATTGCACCGTTTTACAGGAAATCGGTAGCTTGCAGCTGAGCCTTGTGACAAACCTCAAAACATTTTGCAGAGTTAGATTATGGTAACAATGAGTAGGGAACGAATCGCTAATCCCGTTTTTAGGCTTTAGAGGAGGCTTACGTTAGTAGAAATCAACGTTGCAGTGCATACTGTACGCTTTATTGTATTGTAGATGAAATGGTGCTTTTCCGTTATCCGGAACCATTTTTTCAAAATAGCTTCTATCCTTGTGCCATATTTCATCCCAGCTTCACAGGAAGGAGTGTCAACCTTCTGCCACGCGTCAAAAAATTTGACATATCATTTACATGTTTAACAGGTTTCACCAAGAGTTTGTTTCATAGCGACGTAAGCTCCATCGGGGGACGGTCAGGAGGTACGACCGGCGCGAATTTTTCGCGAAGCGACGCCGCAACGTACTTCAACCAATACAATAGCAGCACTCCAGGCGCAATGTCACTTATGGCATTGAGCATGTACCTGCCTCCATCCCCACCCCCGTGTTTTTGCCGCCGGGAGTCTTTGATATGGGGAGCTCTGTGGGTCCCAAGATCAGGACGCGGCATGCGCGGCGAAGCGGCCGCCGCGCGCGGCGTACCTCCTGACGTGCAGCCAGCTCTATCTGCTTTCTAGTCATTTTTGACCTCATTTCGATCTAACAATCACAAAATGAACATTATCTTGATTATAACAACATACTATTGTAGATAAACAGATTAAACTTGTTTAGAATAGAGAAGTGCGCTAGGATAACGTCATTCAAGAAACGGAATAACACAGCAAGGTTCTACAAGCCATCATTTATAGTCTTTCTTGGCTAAATTCGCATGGCGCAAAGACTTTGAAGAGAAAGACATTTTTGAATCATTGCCGAAAATAATCAGTTCTAATAGAAGTGCGATGGTTTTGCTCTCATAAAAACAATTAAACAGCTTTTCGGACAATCGCCGGGGCAGGCGGGCTCTGGAAAATACGCGTTGCTGAAATATCGCATTCCGCTCGCAAATTCCAGGAAAATGGTCAACGAGTTCTTGAGAGACTGCCTGTTAGATTCTTTTTCGCTGTTATCTTTTGCAGATATATTGCTGAACTCTGAGGAATCGAGAACTCAGCAAGCGGCCTTCCGAAAATCCTGATTGCTTTCCAAAAGATACGCGAGCGGGGTGCGAGAAATCAGCCATCTATTTTTTCGGTGCCCGCCTGCCCCCGTCGATTGTCTGAGTTTTAGGTGATCATAAATGCTTATTTAGCTCACCGGAAATGATCTCAAAAAACATGTCAAAACGGACCAAGTGTCAATTTTTTGTGACACATGGCAAGGAGGCAGTCCGCTTAGAATTTATGGAAAAATTATTTTTTGACTAAAGAACGTATCATATGAGAGCCTTTTGAAAAAATGGGTCCGGATAACGGAAAAGTACCGATGGATTTATAAGCTTTCCGCGCGTTAGTGACGGTAGGATAGCAATAAGGGTGAATCACGCATCCAAGTGCACGTTTTGCCTGCGCAAGAGCAGCGGACTGGAAGTCATCTGGCAGGACAGTCGAACACTAGGCCCCAGGGGATGCTGAGTCCACCAAACAGCAGAAGATACTTGTGTGTAAACATGGTTTATTAGTTAAAATAAACCAGGAGAATTTGGTAGGAAACTCGTTAGACCTACCACCTACAAAGCATGACACCATGTATCAATATCTGCGAATGCTAGTATGGGCAGATATGCTATGACTTCAGTTTCTGGAACCTTCGACAGAAAATTTATTGAAGGATTTAAGTTTTAGGATAACTGGTGATTCTACTGAGTTGTATGACTTCATAGCTTGACGTATGGAGGAAAAAACTTCAAAAAGAAAGAAAGTTGCTCATTGAGTGAATTGACGACAAGATAATTGACTTCATTCTGCTTGAGTCACATTCTTCGTTCATTTTTTCACACCAACAATAAAGATAATGAGGTGAAAGAGGACAGTAAGCGCTTGCAAACCTCCCTGGCTCAATATAAGAAACTGATTTGTGCATTTGAGGCAATGATTTGAATAGTTATGATACCTTTTTTTTTCATATGGATTGCAAGTGCAGGCATAAACATTTTACGATCTGATAAGTTCTTGAATGCAGGTACGTCGTGATATACACTGCACAGGGCGGTCCCAGAGTTTTCAGGAAAGAAGCCCAGGATTTCATGCATATGGAAGGATGTGGCTACGGCCGCACCCTTGAAGGTATAATCTGGGGTCCTCCACGGATTTTTGGATCTTGAGACATCCCAAGGATGGGGGGGATGGGGGGAGAGGGAGGGCGCACCGGCCTCTTGGGTCACAAGAATAAGATTCTTTTTCAATCTGTGATTTCAAAAAATTGTTTCAATATTTTATAGGTAAAAATGAGTTGCCAAAAATTGGAAGCTCAAAATAAATTTTCTGAAAAATTTTGCGGTACATTCTCAGGCACTTCGGTGCTGTTACAACATTATTCCTTTGTCTACTTGACATGCTGGTCGCAAATAGATGATAACAGTCAGTCAATAGATTCCCAAAGTAGTGGATGCTGAAGCCACATTCGGTTACGTTTTTAAGATG